AAGAAACCTATATAACTTGCACTGAATTTTCTTTATTTGTGCACTGATGCTTGGATCAATTTCTAAGCTCTTTTTATTACTTTCCTTGCCAAGAGATTTGTATTCTTTTCCTTTCTTTATGTTTACACAATTTTCAGATTTACTAGACCTAAGACTTCGTTTCTTCCTGAATGGTAGCTCTGTTTAATTCGTTAGCTAAAGAAGTACCAGAAACACTTCCTTTTCTATAGTATTTGCCTTTTGTTGTATTCGTAAAGGAAAACACAGTAAACATTAACGAGTGTGTACGACAATCGTCGCCTTTTCTGAAGCTTCGAATGATCTATGTGAAAAAAATATATATATTGAAGAACTTTTGTTCCAGAGTGAAAAAATATAGCATTATATACACGAAATAATAATGCTATTATTCTCATTACGTATGAGCTACCCACGTCACTGTCGGTCATTTCCAGCAAAAAAATAAAAATGGTTGTAACTTCAAGGCAGCACATGATCTGCCTATGGAAACGATCGTTGTCTATCTTTACACTGTATCCAACATTACAGAAACATTCCTATGAGAGGGTTCACGTGATATCATAAGCCAAGGATCCAGTTTTATAGGAAACTATATAAACTTATACGGACACAAATTTGGAAAACATTATAGAAGCTATAATTAAATAACATGTAGTATGCCTGCTTACAACATACATTATTTGTCATAAAATCTCGCCCCCAAGAGGCACAGCGGACTTACAACGCTAGAATACGGGTTTCGATACCCGTGGTGAGCAGAGCAAAAATAGCCCATTGTGTAGCCTTGTGCTTAATTACAAAACAAACAAACATAAAATCTCAAAATCGTAATTGTGTTTTAAATATGAAAATATAAACATGCAGAACAACTTTCAAATAATTAGCTGATCGCCTGATTAACTCCTTGTAGAGTTTAAACGCATTTTCATTCGTTAAGATTTAGGAGTAATTTTGTTCAATAAAGATCACTAACACTCAAGCAGGCTTCAGTAATGTTTATACATATTAACCTTACAACACCCATAAAGAAATAATATTGTACTATGTTTTTCATGTTTCAAAAACTATGATGACATTGGTGAAATGTTATTTTTTATTACCTTCTCACTATTACCTTCAATAATGAGTTGTTTTATTCATAAAAAAATATTTTACTTTGTAAAAATTATATATGAACAAAATAATATTGTATAGTAAATGTCTGAAAATTTGAGTCATTTCTCACTTGTATTTTATTCAATAAAGTTTTCTCTTTTTAATCTTTGTTGATTCTGACCTGAATCCTATGTATAGGGTGCCCAGTTTGTATAGGTTTGGCCAGAATAGTCCCAGTGTTCTTGTATATCGTTTGGGATAACTAGGTGTCTCGGTTTTCATTTCTACCAGTAATCTATTTTTTATTCTTGTATTCAGTATTTTGAGCCTCTGCAAACCATAAATTATCAAATATATTTTTTAACTGAGCAGAAAAATTATCATATAGCTCGGAATGACCCAGCATAACCTTTACTGCTTCCTTTGAAGGTAGCTATAAGTCAGGCTGTAGCAGATGACATGACGTCACTAGTACAAACGTCACCGACCATGTGACTTCGACTCACCGAAACAAACATATACATGCTGTTCAGACCTGGTAATTGTCGTGCAGCATTTACTTAAAGTAATTCAAGGGTGAACAAGAATGACAGTTGACCAGAATTTTATGATAAACTCCTGGCCAACAACAAGTTGCCCGAAAAAAATAATTCTGGTCAAAGAGATATAAGTAACACGAATAGTGTAAGTGAATATATCCTTTTTACGTGACGATATTTAATATTTGCATAAAAGATTGTTTACAGAGATCCGCAAAAAAAGGGTAGGGATCCCAGTTTTAAGATCTGAAAATACCGAGTGTCTCGTATTCATTACATGAAAATCTGATCACACTACAAATGTACTCTGCTATTAGATAAGTTACACCACTTTTCATCATTGTTATGCAATAGTATTATGGTAACAATATACTCTTAGATAATCAATATTTCACTCTGTATTTTGTTATTTTCCCCTTGTTATTGTATCACTTTGTTAATATTTCAAGAATTTTTGTCAGCCATATCTCGTCTTGAATAATTGGCATATTGTTACGTCTGTGTTCGTTTGTTAATTTTCCGTAGAAATTATTTCCGAAGAACTTCAGCGATACAAGTCCTTTTTTAAATAAAACTAGTTCATTCTTTCTCAATACAACTTTGCAATACACTTAATTTCCACAGTAACTTTAACTTAAACACACGCTATAATTCACAATGATTTACACACTTTACTTACGGCTTGACTCGATTTTCTGTCTATATCTTCAATCTCACT